ATGGAAATCCATATACTTGCAGATCAAAATTTTTATGTTTTCTGAAAGATCATTAAACATAGAATAATGTGTACAATTTTTTTTTTTTATATCATCAAGGCCACATGGCTTTCTTGAGCATCAAAACCAGGTATATAAAAAATTGCCTAAATTTATTTAAATTGATAATTACAAGTACTTAAAAATTTTTTTTTACATTTCTGATTATTTCATTGGATTCTTCAACCCTGAAAATAGCCAGGTACAAATTTTTAAGTTAAAAGATCAAGTATTTTTAAAGCTATGTGACTTGAAACCTTTAAACAAAGGTCACACTTCTGAGGGGACAAGAGGGGCCTGGCCAAGATCAGTTAAAAGTAAAATGATCATATTTCATGATCCTCTTGGAGCTAGAAGCTAAAATTTTTAAGGATTTTTTGTTTTACTAAGTACTCTCAACTGTATAAAAATCAGCAAAATCTGAGATGTATGGTGACATTTTTGAAATTTTCTGGCTCAATTGACATGGAATTACCCTACAACCAATATTTAACAAAAATACGGAGAAATTATTATTAAATAACATAATAATTAATGGCAATTATTCAAGATAGATGGTAATTTATATTGTCAAAATGTCATAACATGCGTTAAAAAACATATTATATTTGGTATTTCACAATTTATGTTGTATTTGGCATTCGTCTCTTAACATGAAAAATTAAAAATTTAAAAAAAAACAATTGAAAAATACAAATTTTCAAGGAATTTTCTCTTCTAATTCTCATTTATTCAAAAAAAAGTTACTATTAAACTTTTATTTCTCTTATCTAAAAAAAAATGAGTAACGCAAAATATATATATATATATATATATATATATATATATATATATATATATATATATATATATATATATATATATATATATATATATATATTCATACAACTCTTCATTGGAGGTTTAATTACGCAAAACTTTTCTTTCTCTAGTTTTCTTTTCTTTTATAAAAAGAGCGCGCAATGAAATAAAAACATTTCTTAACATAAAATTAAACTTAGAGATAAAATTAAATTAGAAATAAATCAACAATGAGCAAAGCAACTGACAGATTAATCTGGGACTATTTTGATATTAATGAAAATAATCAACAAAAATCACATTACTAACAACAATCATCAAATAAACAACACAATATCGCATAATTTTAGGGGCTTTTTATTTTTATTGCTTAGTTGTTCTAGATAATAAGTAAATTTAGTTCAGGTTAATATTTCAATATTTACAGTTGCAATATAATAAAGAAATGGTGTTTAATGTTGAACTTTTTATTTAGTTATTTATTTTTTACCTACATTTGTTATAAAAAACTTTAGAACCCCTGTCGTTAAAATAATTTGTTTTAAATATATTTCGACGTGATTATTCAAACTAATTTTTTTCATTTGACTTTCCGAACTTCATGCAAAGCAAATCGAAACGAAATATCGTCTAACCAAATAAAAATACTGTTACTAATTTTATACGGGTAATTAATGTAAAACAATTTTTTATCAGTCTTGATTGAGATAATAAATATTCATAATTTATAAACATTATATATATGGCGCAATAACAATTTATAGCAACAAACCAGCATAAAATATTTGAGGTTTTAAATATCTTTTTAAATGTTAAAAATAGAAAAAAAAAAAAACTAAACAAATAGTCTAAAAAATTTGGAATAAGAATAAATATTTACAGAGTTTCATTTGTTGAAAGTCTACCGTGACGTCAAATACTAAAATTTTTATGAATTAAATGCGCTTTAAAGGAATCGCTAAAGTCTGTAGATTGCAATGTATAATTTGAAGACTCCGAGTTATTGAATAAAATGGAGAAGGCGAGCTTCAGCTAAAACAATAACATTAGTTTTTCTCAGTATACATTCATTTTTATTTTTGATCAAAAAAACTTGATTCAAACCTTTTTTTTTAACATTATCTTTAATATGAACACAACATAAGTCTGGAGTTTGGGAGTCCTTTAAGGAACAAGAGTTAATTCAGAGATTCTCCCAGTATCAAAGTATCAGCAGTCAAAAGCGTCAAGTTTTCAAGACTCAGTATCTAAACATCAATTTTGATTGTGTTCATGGTAGTTTACAACATTGACAAAGCATTAAAACCCACCTTAACAATCAGATTGAGCATATAATGCGGTAGTGGTGTAGTGGTAGAGTGCATGCTTCATAAGCAAGAGGTTCCATGTTCAATCCCTATCATGTCCCAGGTAGTACTGGCTTAACTTGTTTCACTGAGCACAGCCTTGTTCGTAAAGATTCGAGTTTTGGAGTTATAGAGTTAAGAGAAGGTTATAATCACAACTAAGTAGCCTCCTCGTCTGTAGTGACCTTCTTGGCCCTGGGGAGGTGAATTTACTTGAAAAAAAACAACAAAAAACTAGTTAGTTATTGTTTCAAACAGGCAAAGTTTCATTTTAATCAGTGGATCAATAATTGTGGGAATAGAATTTCAACGATGTTGAACTTCATGGCTCCATTTCAGCTCCAAATGCTTGAGTTAATTTTGACTGAAATATTAGATATTTAACAGTTGAATTTCTAATATATTTGATAACATTTTGTGCATTTTTTTAAAACAGAATAGAAATCAATTTCTGAATAATCAACTTGCACATCCTTTTTTTCATTATTTTAATCTAATCTTAATTATCAAAGTGTGAACCTTGAATTAATTTGGACGTTTACAAAATGTTAGTTACTCCCAAGTGAATGCCATGATTAATACAATTCTAGTCAATAATCTTGATAATTTTTATGTATTTCTTGTTGATTCCCACATCGTCTTGTGTTCATCCTTCCAAATCTTTTTCAAATTCAATTGAAAAGCATTTCAAGTGATTTGATACTTTTTCAACCCTTGCTTCAGCATTGCACAAACCAAAGATGCAAACTAATACCAATTTGATTTATTCCAAAGAAGTAGCGGCGGCAAAAAGTTGTATACTCGTCAATACTTATACTGAAATTTCTTATTCACGTTATTTTTGAAACTATTTCTGAAGCCGTTTTATTTATCTTATAAAATTATTTAAAAATTAAATTATTATAAAAATCAACGTTGATTTAACTTCATTAACCTGCTCTCATTTTTTGGAAGTTGATATCCTTTCTTTTTGGACGCATTACAAATGAAATGATTTCTCGTGATAGCTCTAATGGATATTTTGTCTGTGGCCATGTCAGAAACTATATTTAAGCTCTTATGTTGAGCGAAATCAAGCAATGTTTTAGGTTGCTTTTCTGCTACAACTTGTTCAGGAGGAATTTTCTCAGTTTGAAAACAATTAATTCCACCTTAAGTGAGCCTTTAAGCTTGCGATAGATCCATTAGAGCTAATAAGCTAACCCAGCGAACATGTCCTATTGGGGTCCATATGGGTTTTTGCCCAATTGGGCCTTATGTGGGCTTTGCATATGGGCCCAAAATGTGCTCATATATACAAAATTGAATACAAAATATTTAAATACTTTGTATTCAAGGACTAGCCTAAATGGGGCCCATATATGTGATGCGGTAGTGGTGTAGTGGTAGAGAGCTCGCTTCATAAACGAGTGGTTCCGAGTTTGATCCCCACCATGTCCCTGGTAGTACCGCGCTTAACTCGTTTCTCCGCGCAGCAGCCTTGTTCATCAAGGTTCGTGTTTCGGAGTTATAGAGTTGAGAGAGGGTTATAACCACAAATAAGTAGCCTCCTCGTCTGTAGTGGCCTTCTCGGCCTTGAGGAGGTAAATTAAACAACAACAAAAAAAATGTAGTTAAAAAAGCATTATATTCCATCTTATTTTCTAAATTAAAAACCCTCCAATCACGCGATAGCGAGGCATTATTAATCATCGAAAATCAGTAAAAAAAAATTAGTTTAAGTCAACTTAGCCACATGTTTATTTAAAGACTTGGTCCATGAATAAAAAATAACTTTTTTCAAAAAATTTTCTTTTAAGTCAAATCATTTTAAAAACTCCGTAGTAATGCTATTAATGTCATGTATTAGTGGTAGTAAAAGAGTTTTAAATTGTATTTAAAAATTATTTCTTTAAACATTAAAGAGAACTTAAACAAAAAAGTTACTAAGCCAGTTTTAAAAGACTAAGATTTTTTTTTTAATGTATAAAAAAGTTTTTGCAAGTGTATAGCTATTTGAGTTTTTATAAACCCACAAGCAAAAATGTAAACAAAATGACACGTCTTAAAGAGAATTACTATACAATTAAGATGTAGTTAAACTTTAGGTTTAAAATTACTTATCTGTATTGGACTACTATTCTTACTATTTTACTAATTAAATACTATGGCATATCTATTAGTATCTACTACTGCTTACCTTTTTCATCCTAAATTTGATATCCTGTTTTATTTCTATAAAGCTAGACTCAAGTCATATATTTATGACTACATATTAAATTATATGTATCTAATTTAAAAATAAATAATTATTCAAAATATTATAAAAAATTTAAATGAATAAAAAGGTGGGACCATGTAGGTCCCACATATGCAGCCCATATGGGCTGCCCCACTTGGGCCCCAATTCACGCCCAGCAACAATTTTCCTTGGGCAGGATGTGCGCAACCCATTTGGGCCCCATTAAGCTGCCTACTTGGGCTCCATGTGGGGCTCAATGACTTGCTGGCTGGGAATAACCTAATTACAGCGATTGCAAACTCCTATATCCATAGTCACAGGATTCTTTCATTTTGTTGCAAAATCCCAAACTGATGACATCTCTTTTGAATTAAAGTGTACATTATATATACATATAAAGTTCTTCATAAAAAGAATAATATACTTTCTAGAGAAATATTAAAATAACGAATCACAAATTCAATTAATAAATAAGAAAAATAAATTAAATAATAAAGTAAAATAATTTAAAAAAAAACAACTGGTTTGCAAAATATTTGTAAAAACACAAAATTCAAAGTAATAATAACAATAAAGATATAAATAAAATTAACCTTCCATGTTTCTTCAAACATTCCTTTTTTATGCATACAAATGTATTAAGTGTACGGTGATAATTTGAGTCTAAAAGTGGACAGTATATTTGAGCTACTTGCCACATATAATCTCCACAAAACTCACAACTTGGAAGTTGAGTCCCAGGTATCATCCAATCCTTAAAAAAAATAATTACAAGTAAACTTTTAAAGATATTATGCTTTAAGTGATTTTATTTTCTTGAACAAGGTTTTGTATAATTTCTATTATTTTAACAAATGTTAAAGAAATGATTTTGGTTTTTTATTTTTTAATACGTAATTATTCTTTTCCTTAAAAAAAACTTGGACACCTTTGGAAGATTTAGACACCTAGGAAGATTTTTGAAGCATCCAAGTTCATAAAAGGCTTGAGACTGAGTTCTTGAAAAATTCTGTCCAAATTCTTAGCAATCAAATATGAAGAAATTTTGTAGCTATTTTTCAATTTCATAGAAACCTTTTAGTTTCTTCATTGATACATTATTTTCTGAATTTTTCATTAATTTCAAATTTAATAAACTCGTTGTTACAACTTCATTAAGACTTTAATTTCATCACCAGTATAAGTTTCTGCTTCTGTCTCAGCAAATTGATATCAAATTTGATTTTATAAATAATAAAAAATGAGTTTAATTAAATTAGACATTTATATGAAAAAAATAAATAAACCCAAGAAGAAATATTTATGTAATTCAAATTAAACTCAGACAAATTTTAAAATAATAGGCTTTCGATACCAAATAAATTAATAAACAATAATCAAAATGAATACTTATAGTTGCGATTTAAAAAATTACAAAAACAATGATTAAACTAATCAAATTAATTAATGCACCCTCAAATAAATTATTTAAAAATAACCTCTAGCTGAAGAGCTTATTTTACAATAGTTTTTATAGCTTAACTTTAAAAGTTAAATAATTTTTTGTTATGTTTATATTAACATTTAAAACTCTATATTTTTGGTAAAATATTTAACGAAAAATTTAAAAGTAAAACTACGCACCGGCAATCCACCAAACTTGTTACAGCTCCAGTCCACGCTCTCAATAATTTCATCATCTTGAAATCCTATTAGGGTACTCATTTTAATAGAACTGTTATTTAATTTTTTATTACCTAAAAAAGCATCCTTAACTTAATATAAAATTACATGAGAGATACATGCTTATCTAATGATGGCATAATGAAATGTTGTTAACCATGACCTAATGGAATGTTGTTAAATCTGCCTATTTTGGAAAACAGCATTACTGGTGTTGGCCTCACAAGATTTATCTTTTTGAGTCATAGGGTTGTAATGTTATGCATTAAGTTTGCTAAATGTTTCAAGGCCAAATTTGTAGATTTGATCACCCTCTAAAAACTTATCATTAGCTGGGAGCTTCATCATGTTTGCACAAAAACACTGTGGCAAAATAGTTGTGCAACTGTAATCTCTATATTGCCCCTCCTCCCCATTGCAGTGTTAGGCTTAATTAAATTAAAGATTTAATGTAAAAAAAACACTCTAATAAGCAAAGATATACAAGGACAATTAATAAAAGGAAAGTATAATTTTTTTGTTTGAACTTCTTTTTAAAGTGGAAATTTATTCAAAATTAAAATTTAATGCCAAAAATTTTACTATATATTATTATTGGTTTGTTGCTGTTGTTGTTATTATTGTTATTATTATTATTATTATTATTATTATTACTACTATTATTATTATTATTATTATTATTATTATTATTATTATTATTATTATTATTATTATTATTATTATAAAAGGAAATTGTTATCAATCAAAAATGAAATCAATGCAAAAAGGGTATCTGATGCTAAGCTCCATTATTTCTAGTTCACTAAAAATCTTCTTATAATTTAGACTCTAGAGACTTTTGGAAAATCTTTAAGTGTCATTAACAAACTAACATTCATTAAAAGTCTAAAAGTCATTAACAAAGGTCTAACATTCATTAAAAGTCTAAAAGTCATTAACAAAGGTCTAACATTTATTAAAAGTCTAAAAGTCATTAACAAAGGTCTAACATTCATGGACTGATCTTATTACCTCTCTAAAGTATAATGCTGAACTATTTGAAAGGAACTTTTCTTCTAATTTGACTGAATCTTAAGGTTATACTCTTTCTTATTCTTTTCTCTTTCTTCTTTAATTACATGTTAAACAAGTTAACCCATTATTAGACATTCAAATCACTCCAGCTTCTGTTGTTAAAGTCATATCTCAATTAAACTCTTCTACGGCTTGTGGTCCAGACAACATTCCTGTTATAGTCTTACAAAAGTGTTCTCCAGAACTCTCTCTGATTCTCTCTAAACTATTTATTAAGTGCTTGTCTGAATCTTGTTTTCCTGTCTGTTGAAAATGGCATTTGTGGTTCCAATTTTTAATAACTGTGGTGAACACTCTGACCCCTCCAATTTTTGTCCAATTTTCTCTTTATTATTTTATCTGTCCAGTCTTCTATCTATTATTAGCAAAGTCTTTGAGTCTTTAATCAATAAATTTCTAACATTTTGAGTCAAATAACTTATTGTCAGGCAATCAATTGTTTTTGATTTGCTAACTTCTTTGACAGGAAGATTTTATTGCAGATTAGATGAAGGCAGAGAGGCTAGAGCTATGGCTATTGATTTATCTAAAGCTTTTAACAAAGTTTGACATGCTGATCTTTTTTTAAGCTTGCTTCATATGGTGCATCTGTGAAAATTTTTGAGATTATCTAATCTTTTCTTTCTAATCCCTTTTATAAAGTCATCCTTAAAGGTCAATAATCTTCTTTATTTCCAATAATTTCTGGTACCTCAAGGTACTTTTACAATAATTTCTGGTACCTCAAGGTACTCGGCCCAGTTTTGTTTCTTATCTAAATTAATGATCTTCCTGTCAACCTTACTCCAAAATTGCCTCTAATTGACGATGACTCAATTTTATACTCCTGGCAGCTGATCATGAATCTGATCTCACTACTGTAACAGATTGTGGCTTGTTAATTTTACCTCTAACAAAACTCATTTATTTACTGCAAACAACTATTATTGCTAAACAATATTGATATTCCTGCATTGATGAACGGCTATGATAGCAATCAATTGTATATATGAAACCATATATACAGTTGATTGCTTAATTAGCATCTACTAACGTTGCTTCTCTTTATTTTGCTTGCCATTTTCATACTCCTGATTCCATTCTCTACCTCTATAAATCTCTTATTCACCCCTGTATAGAATACTGTTTATATATTTGAGTTTGTTCTTCTAATGATGCTCTTTCTTTTTTAGACAGTCCAAAAATGCATTGCAAACAAAGTCGGACCTTCTTTATCTGCCAAGTTTGAGCCTCTCTCTTCTTTTTTGGTTGATGGAACTAGAGTTGATGAAGCTATTAACTCTAGTTTCATCAACCAAAAATCATTCTCGCTTGACTTGTCATTCAGCTAAGTCCCTTTTTTTGCCTAGTTTTTTTCCTCATACTTCAACCCTTGGAAATCTCCAAGGGTTGAAATATGAGGAAAGTTTTCCTGACTATTACAACCTACAGCTTTTTAAGTCTTCTGCCAACCATCTCCTTGCTCTTTAACTCTAGAAACTCTTTGTTTTCTAGAAACCTCTAACTTAATAGGGTTTGCTTGCAGCATTGTTAGGAGAGAACCAGAATAATATTAAAATAAATAATTATTTAAAATAAATAATAATATTAAAAAGTTGAACATCTGTCTGTCTGTGAGCCGACATTTTATATTGTCAAATCAAAAAACTTGATGTCTACAGTATGAGTAATAAAGGAACTTTATTTTTAGTCAATTGGAAAGAGATCTTGGCAAAAAAAAAAAAAAAAAAAAGATTAAAAATAATTTAATTAGTTAATAGTTAAAATTTATGACCATTTTCAAAAAGATCCAAAATTTTATGATTCTAAATTGTATGATTACCTAAATTTACAAAAAATGATTTTGTGTAAATTCAGGTAATCATACAACTTCCATTTCAGATAATGCAGCACGATTAGTCTGCATTCCTCCATAATTTTTACAATGATTTTACCAATATTAAAAACACTTTAATAAAGTGTTATATAAAATATAAAGTGTTGCATAAAATCTTAATACATAGTAAATTATGTATAAAGATTTTATATAAAACACTTTATTAAACACTTCATTCAAGTATTTTTAAGGTTGGTATAATTATTATAATGTTCTTTAATATATACTTAATATATATTATTGTTATATACTTAATATATATTATTAATGTATATTAAATATATCTAAAAGAACATTATATACAAAATACATATATATAAAACATATATGATAAAATATAGATACATAAATCCGACTTTAACGGAACCGTTATTGTGCCACGCTTTTTTCCGTCTTTTTAAGAGTGGCATGGTTTGCTGTTTTTTATGTTTAGAATTGTGATTATAATGAATTTATTGTTTAACACTTCCATGTTGTTTGTGCATCAGGTATGTGTTGAAGATGTACTGGGACTTTTTTCTAATATATTCAGAATTTTGCAAAAACCTTTTTTCCTGCTACCTGCCAAATTTCATGAGAAAAAGTTTGCCCAGACACCCAACTAGCTTACCCAAACTAGGTACCTGTTTTTGACTTGAGTTCGGCTATTAAACCTCGGTAGTTAGGAGAGGGCCTAACATAATAAACATTTGAACATTAATAATGCCTTTACTCCATCGGGTGTTACTTTATTTCACTTTTGAAACATTAATAAACCTTTACTCCATCGGATGTTACTTTATTTCACTTTTGAAAAGTTTTTGTAGTTACCCAGCTCTAATAGCAATATTGATTTTTTTAAATTATTTAGTTTTTTTTGTTAGTTAGGCTATCTTCAATTTCAGAATTTATTTTGAACGATGCTCCCATTTTATATGTTGTTTTTTAATATCAGTAAAAGCCATTTTTTATACAGAATTTTTTCTCCGTTAAAAGTGGCGTGTTACTACACAAGAACTATATCCATTTTTAATAAGTTTTAAAATCAACTTAATTCATTAAACAAATTTTTTATTATGCTTAAATTAAACTGCAATAAAATAACCATTAAAGAGAGTTATAGACGCCCTTCTAACGCCCCGCATACGTCTTTTATTCTTTATTCTTCTTATTCTTTATTCTTATTCTCTATTAAGCTTTTTTTTTTTGACACCAAGTTTTATGAATTTTGATAAGAATTAACAAAGTTATGACATTTTAAGATAAAAAAAATTCACCTTTTTTTCAACAAATCCATATATCAAAAAATTTGACGCTTAAAATGCTATGACTGACAATGTTGCATAATACTGGCAGGAGGTGTAATTTTCACAGGGACTCGCGTAGGTTAGGCATCAATCTTTGACAATGTTATTGTAATTTTTTGAAAAAAAATAACTTAACCGAAAACAGCAATGTAATATTTTTATCATTATTATCTAAAAGAGTTTTTTTATGTGTCACATATAATGTGCATAACTTATATTTAAACGAATTTATACTAAATAATACAATTTATTATATAATCTATAAACTGTTAAAGTATTGATTTTTTTATTATACCAACTCTTACTAGAAATTTCCTGCGGAAATAATGTCCACATGTCCACTTAATGTTTCAATCGTTAATAATTCGTGACGTTGGAATCATAGGGTTTATTCTCCCTTTTGTAATGATGAGATGATTTTATAAAGCGTGTTATATTCTCTTATATTTTTTAAACTAAAAAACAAAGTTTGTTAAATTTGTTAAATTAAAAGATTAAAAAATCAAGTTTGTTAAATTGATTGAACATAAAAATCATCAAAAAAACATCATAAAAATAATCAACATTTTCTCGCTTAATATCTAGTTTTTGAAATATTATATAAAGTATCTTCAATAACCATTCGGAGGACAAGGTAACTGAAAGAGTCCATGGAGTAGAACATGTCAAAGAAGATAAGCCGCAGACTATAATTCTCAAACTTTTAAATTTTCATGAAAAAGGCAAAATATCATATTTAGCAAAAAAACATAAATGCAGTGAAATATAAATAAATGAGTATTACGCAAATGAAACCGACGAAAAACGAAAAAAACTTTGGGAAGAAATAAAAAGACACCGAAAAGATGCTAAACTTGCTTAAGTTATCAAAAA